GTTGATTGTGGCCCTTCTTTTTTTGATCAATATTGGTTCAGTACATTGTTCATGGAAGAGGATCCATTGTTTCCTCCAAATTCCAAAGAGAGAGTGGTCCCATCCTGAGTCCTTGATTGAGCACAGTTTATTCCATGTCCTCCTCAAAATTCCAGGGGCAAGTGGAATTTACCTTGTCCACATTGATGGGGAGTGAGGATGATGTTTGTAATTCTAAACTGGATGAGTTCTGTTTCCTTTGGTTGAGTAAGGAATACATGATCCCGTCATTCCCAGCCTGGGGTGTTGCCTTTCAGGGTTTTCAGATGGAGGAAAAGGTTTGTCCACTTCAGTGTTGCTTACTTTCTTCTCATGATTCCAGTGGCTCAGAATGCATCACTCTATGGCTACAGGTTGGGATCCATTCATAGGTATATATATATATACATATATATATTGTGGTCCAATTGATCTAGCCACCAATGTGGGATATAGGCACCATGGCCCTGTAATTCCAACCACGAGCAGTGAAACTTGATAACTTAGAGTTTCACACTTAGATTGATCCACTTGATAAGGAGATAGTTAAAAGAACTTCCACACATAACTAGGGATACACAAGTAACAAACTGGCTGCCAAATACTCACAATTTCTATTGGTATTAAGTTCAGAAGTTTAAAGCTTAATGTATATAATTTATTTTCCATTTGAAGTTTTTTCAAATCTTACTGATGCCGTAACCATAGTATGTAATCTTTTTGGTAACAGGGAGTTGAAAAGAAGCTACTTCAGACATCTAAAAGTGGCTTGAAGTATTTTGCCGACATGAGGTATGGAAGATTAGATCACAAGATGGACCATCTTGCATGTTTTTCTGGTAAGTACACTCTTATAAGACTGTTTATCCACGTACTTTTTGAAACATATTGCACGAGACTTTGAATTTATAGTGGACTCCATTTATCTCCATATACCTTGTAGACCATCTTGCATGTTTACATGGTAAGTACATTGTCATAATTCTTTAAAGTTACATTGAAAATCTGTTTATCCTACTGCTTTGGGAGACAAAAGTTTGAAGGTATGTGGACAAATATGCTTTTATTGGGAATAACTAGAAGATGTCTACAAGAGTTGCAAAGACAGATGAATGCCTTCAAGTGAGTTTCATTTCACATTTCTCCATTTTCTTATGTTTACTAAGAGTGGGTATGTTTCCTTATACATTTTTTGAGGGTATTGGCAATTTCTAATTTCTCCTCCTAAGTTAGTACTAACTACCTGTGTTTCCTTTTGACCTATTATTTCTGTGATGATACTGTCAAGTTGACACTGGTTGATAATGTAGGTTGTGCAATACTTTATGAAATGAAGTATGCATCTTTTATTTTGTGTGTGTACACGTTAAGTCTACATTTGCAATACAACAGTGAAGAACTTTGGCAAGGGGCTGTGGATAATTAATTCACAGAAGAATGGAGCACAAGCGAATGAGGTAGTTGAAAAAATATTTTAATAAATATATTGACCTTAACATGTGCTGGAGAAAGTAATCCAGCCAATACCTGGACTTCCAAAGCTTGTGTTAAAGAAAGTAGTCCAGCTATTGCCAGAACTTCCAAGGCTTATGTTAAAGAAAGTATTCCAACCACTGCCTGGACTTCCAAAGCTTGTGTTAAAGAAAGTAATCCAGCTATTGCCAGAACTTCCAAAGCTTGTGTTAAAGAAAGCATTCCAGCCACCACCTGGACTTCCAAAGCTTGTGTTAAAGAAAGTAGTCCAGCCACCACCTGGACTTCCAAAGCTTGTGTTAAAGAAAGTAGTCCAGCCATTGCCTAAATTTCCAAAGCTTGTGTTAAAGAAAGTAGTCCAGCCATTGCCTAAATTTCCAAAGCTTGTGTTAAAAAAATAGTTCAGCCATTTCCTGGACTTCCAAGGCTTGTGATAGTGAAAGTAGTCCAGCAACTGCCTGAGTTTCCAGTTTGTGATTGAGAAAAACAGACCAGTCATTGCTTAACATTTTGTTAAACGTCTTTTCAAAGCATCTTTTATCAGAACTTCGAAAATTTTTTCCACCATCGATGTAAGACAGATAGGCCTATACTTTTTCCGCCATTGATGTAAGACAGATAGGCCTATACTTTTTCCATCATCGATGTAAGACAGATAGGCCTATACTTTTTCTACCATTGATATAAGACTATTAGGCCTATACTTTTTCCACCATCGATGTAAGACAGATAGGCCTATACTTTTTCCACCATTGATGTAAGACAGATAGGCCTATACTTTTTCCACCATTGATGTAAGACAGATAGGCTTATACTTTCACCTGAAAAGAGTTTCTGGTACCTGTTGTTCTAGGGACAACTTTTTTTACCATTTGATGGCCAAATGTGGCTTTTACCTAAACCAAGCTGTAGTTCATCAGATTCCTATTTAATCTTGGTCTATCCAGTAAGTATAAAGTTTTAATACATGCTACATTTCTAACAGTCTGTTGTGTATATGAAGTTTTTTTATCAAATTTATAAAGTTCCTGATTTCCAGGTGGAATGCTAGCACTTGGAGCCCAGTCACTCCCAGATGATCGCAAAGAGCACTACTTAACACTAGCTAAAGACTTAGGCAACACCTGTCATGAGTCTTATGACAGAACTGGTAAATTAACCTTAATGTTTCTTTATAGAAGTGTAAGTGAAATTCTTTGACAAAATATTTTTGTTCGACATTATTGAAAAAATAGTTAAGGATATTATTTTTTTTAGGTTATTATGGGATGAACTATAAAAGAAAAAGAAGAGGTATATTTTGACCTAGTGCATTAATTTGTACTCTATACTTTAATGAAGTTTGTAAAAAATCTGTGAAAGTCACAGACTGACTGTAACATTCTGAGAAAGTGACAAGCTAAATGTAAGAATCTGAGAGAGTAACGAACTTACTGTAAAAACTTGAGAAAGTGACAGACTCACTGTAAAAACTGAGAAAGTGACAGACTCACTGTAAAAACTGAGAAAGTGACAGACCCACTGTTAAAACTGAGAAAGTGACAGATTCACTGTA